AAGACCCTATGTGGCCTTTGTTTGGGGCTCAGTCTCCGGAAGCGAATCTGCTGAGCCCAAGTACTGGCACAATAAAGTCCTTCCTTTGCATCATCCTGCTCAGCGTTGGCGTTTCTCTCAGCGGCTCGGGTAACACTTCTGCTCTCGCTCCACTTATGGAAGACCCTCAGAGCTGAGTTGCCTTAGCTGTGGCTTGAACATTCATATAGCTTCTGAGGACAATAGGAGCAGTAGATAATTGTAAGCAAGTCCTTTGAGTATTTGCAGACACATATGAAGAAGGGCTGTGTCTAGAAGCTAGGCCATCCAGAGAGAAATCTATGTCCTGAACAGAGCCTCAGAGCCAATGTGGTTGCATCTGATCTGACTGGAATAGCTTGGGAAGGAAATCAGGAAATCCAGCTGAAGTTCCAGTTCTGTCACTAACTGGCTGACCCGGAATTAGTCACTCACACTCTGCTGTACCTCAGTGTCATTATCTATAAAATTGGCATAAGGACGCTCGCCTTAGCACTTCACAGGTTTTGGGAGATCACTTGTCTGAGCTTCAATTCCTGCAGCTGTTAGTTCAGATAGGCTCTCTTGCCTTTCCCACCTCACAAGGTTTTGGGGGCAAGTAGTGAGGCATAACCTTTCTGAGCTTCAGTCTCTACATCTGTAAAGTGCAGCTAGGAACCCCTGGCCAGTCCACCTGTAATATTCTTATTAGAAAAAAATGGACAGGAAAACTTGGCAAAATGTAGCAGGTTCTACGAGTATGAATCGTCTCATTCAAAACATGACAAACATACCTAAAAAGCCTTTGTGGTTCTCTTTCCTCCTGACTACAATATCACAACCCCACAAAGTAAATCATGATCATTAAAAAATATGTATGTATGATTTATTTCATTTTTGTTGATGTAGAGAAAATACACAGCAGAACATAAACCAATATAACAATTTCTACATGAATAATTCAGTGACATTGACTTTTTCTTTTTTGAAGAATCTAATCTAATTGTGGGTTCGGTGTTGGCAAGGCTGCTTTAAGGAAGAAACTCTCAGAAGAGCTGATCAGTTTCCTAGCCTAGGGAGGGAGTGCCCGGTCCCTTTCATTCTTCTGGCAGCCTATGAGGTTATTTACCAAGATTCCTGCCCACAGTCCCCTCTCGGGGCGGGGCGGGGCCTAGGTGGACCCGCCCCCGCGACGCCCCGCCCCCTCGCGCCCGCGCCTGCGCCGAACGTACCGGCTGGTCTCCAGCTCCCGAGCGGGAGGTAAGGGACTCGCGGGTGGGCGCTTCTGAGGCCTGTGGTCTTAACGAGGAGGGTGGGCCGGGCGCAGATCTGGGGCGCAGGCTAGGCGCCCCAGAAATGCGAGCGTCCTGGGGGTCCCCTGGGCTGCAAGCAGTGGCGGAGCCTCACTTGGTTTCATTTTTGAAAGAGCTGTTTTGAGACGGTCTAGGGAGGCCGTGGCCGGGCGAACGCGATGGCGCCCGGGGTCGCGGGGTTGAAGTTTCCGCCGCTGTTCTCTCCTCAACGCGGGGCGTCCGTCAGGGCCTGGATCCCGGGCCGGGCCCACGCACCAGTCTCTAATGGGGCGTTTGGTGTGTGTGGCCCCGGTGCGAGGGGTGCCGCGAGGCTTGGGCGTCGGGGGAGCAGGCCGGGGCTGAGCGGCCGGAGCCCCAGTCCTCCAGGCCGGGCGTGCTTTTACAAGCGGGGCTGAGGGGAGAGAGCCCAGCGTGCATCCAGGGGCCGTTCCACCGCCGGAAACACTCGGGGGAACCAAACCAAAACAAATCGGGCGCCATCAACCTGCGGAACGCGGCGGCGCTCGGCTTTTCAGCGTGTTCATCACTGTGGGGCAGTGGTATTGCCAGCGATTTGGGACTTTTTCACCTATAAGTAGTCTCTTAAGTAACCTAGTTCACCTCCGTCCTTTTTTCGTCATCGGAGTCCTGAGTGTTACAGTCCTCGTGTCAGTTGTAAGCACCGCAGGACGAAGCCGGGGAACACTTGGGACCCGCAGCGCAAGTGTTAGTGCGGTGACCGCATCAGCTCTTTACATTTAAAACCTTTTGTGTTGAAATAATGTGGGAATTGCAGAAAAGTTGCAAAAATAATACAGAATTCACTACAGCTTCCTTTAATTTAACGTAACCATAATGCAATGATATGAACCAAGAAGTTAACATGGGTAAAATATTACTAACCTATGGCTGGCCTCAGATTTCATCATTTTAACACTAATCCTTTTTTCTGTTCCAGGATCCTATATTG